GAAACAGTGAAGAACAGTTGTTGGGCAGCACAAAAGTGCAATCTGATTTTCCTGTGAGGGACTGTTGGTGCAGTGCACAACACAACACAGCTACACTTCTTTTGAAGTGTTTACCAAGTGACCCAAAGAGTGACTTCAGCATAGCAGGGTTAACACTACTATGGAATGACAAGAATGGCCTGTAAAATTATCTTTTTTCCGAATATCACGTTAAAGTAGCCCATCAACAATAACCCTTAAATGATTTCGATTTCTGTGACTTTTCCAGGACTTTACAAGGAAACTTTTTTCCAGGATTGTCCAAGCCTAGGGGAACCCTAGGCATGGACAATCCTGGAAGTGGGTTCAGTGAATATTGTTCTGAGCACCAAAATCATGTTTACTATAATTCTGCTAGGAAAGAGACAGCTTACTCTATCAGGGCAGTAATGCTAGAAGATGAGCTCACAGGTACATGTAGGAAACCAACCAGAAATAAACACATAATCTGATGCAGCCCTAGACTGGGGCCAGTCTACTGGACTTCCTCCCTATCCTCGGCCCTACAACGGTCGATCCAAAAAATGAAGACTCCACAAAAATGCCTTCTATGAAATCCCTTTGGTGTGTGTGGATCACTCAACCCATCAAACCACCAATGTACGGTATTATCCTTTTTTCCACTTTTGCTCAAAATTTTCAAAACAGTGCCCTCTATTTCAGCAGCGCTTGAATGATCGTGAGTAGACTGATTCCCAGCCACAAGTCCTCAAGTCAGAAGGGCAATTTGTTCAAGGAACCAGACTAATTCGGGGTAGCTCTAGATCCATTACAACTGCGTAGTGTTGATGATGAACACAAACAGTAGACAACAATGGCAGCATGACATGCTACTACTAGCCTTTGCTCTTTGATTAAATACATTGTATGCCACTCATTTCTGTGTCTGTGGCAGTCTTAAAAAAAACCAACCTCATCCCCCAAACAGAACTATAAGAAACAGATAAAACATGCACTGCTGCATCAATTCCGGAACTTTGGTCTGCCCAGAGACCGAGTATTTTTGTTTGGAATAACTGCACCCCTCCACCACAATTTATTTTAGTTGGCCGTGAAAGCTTCATTGGCAAATAAATAGAAATTATACGCTGGCCGTCGCCAATTCTCCTGAATCATGAATGTTACCATACCATAGCTTTTCATTTTACATGATACAAGGTCGGTGACCAAGTTAGCAAACTGACTCTGGCACCCCCCCCCAAAAAAAAAGAAAATGCTTTGACTCTGCCCCTGACTGTAACACTGACAGGTTTTAATCATCAACTTTTAAGTTTGAAATGTGACAAGATTCCACTGTATGAAGTTGAACACATGGTAAAGCCAGTGAAACTCAAAGTTAGTTTATGTGGAAAGGGTTCCACACACGGACACGGCTTGACACCAGGCACAAACCCTATGAAACTGATCTGAAAAACAGCTCTACATACAATGTATGGATGCAACTTGACACCCATGCACAAACCATGCAAACTTACCCCCAGAACTGTGGGGTCTGACGTCCACTCCGCTTTGTGGGAACGGAGCAGACGTCAGACCCCAATGGAAACCCAGTTATGCATGAGACTGGTCTGAACAATTCTAGGTGTTTTCTTCAAGTTGGCATATTTGGTAGGGCCTAAACTGCAATAGGTCACTGTATGGAATAATTACTGAGTGTTTTCTAAGTAACTACCTCAATATTATTTAAATTTGACTTTCGTGTTAACAATAATATGATTGCTGTGGAAATTAATTTGGGTGACCCTGGTCCTGCACAGTCAATGCACCACCTGACTAGCTCTACTGAGTGGAGTGTTAGTATTCCTCCTTTTTGAACCACTTTGACTTTGGCATTTACAGAAGCCAGTAGGTGGTGATAGAGGTATTTTTGGTGAGTCTTTAGAATTTTTGAGAACCGTTTCAAACTTACTCTATGTACAGGCGTGGAGCGTTAGTATGACGATCCCGTCCAAAATCGAAAACAAGGAATATTAATTCATTACCGTTACTAACGCTCCACTCATACTGCAGTAGTGCATAGTGCTTGGCCTTCCACCTGCATGACCTGACCACATTTACTAACTCTCCTTTTCTTCCTTCAGTGCACGTCCTTGTTGAAATAGTTTACGCAATCACTACAGCAGTGTATCAAGAATGAGAAGACACAAATATAAAGCATTTCTGGGGCCATTATCACGGTACAAACAGCATTTTAGTGATGAAAAAAGTACCTTCTAACATTCATCAGTTCATGTACACGTATACCTAAGAAAACTTCACCATCCCCGTGTGTTGACGTTTTCATTTAGTGCGCGTTCGCTGAGGGCACAGTATGGTAAATAATGGTGAGACATCCAGGTACGTGACATTGGGCATCTGCTTGGAAAAAAGTAGCAAGAGGGCGCTAGGCTAACATCCCGAGCCAAAAAAGAAATCAGAGGGGGGGATGGGAATGCATCCCATAAAACGAATGAATCAAATAACTATACAAAAAATATTTAACGTTTCAAATATTTCAAATATTAACCCTAACACTCTTGGGTGTATGAAAACTCATGTTGAAACTGAGGAATTGAGAACTATTTGGGTAAAATTTGGGACAAAATAAACTTCCTTTTAATTTAGCAAAATGCCAGCAAGCTTACTTTAATATCATTGTCACTATACAAACAAAAAAGGAACCAAAAAACCTGAAGAGAATTCCTTCCAAGAACATGTCAATTATTTTCCATCGGTATAAAAGATTAGCATAAAATTTTATCGTTTTGATGGCTACCCCTTTACATCTAGAAATGCCCTGACTTTGTGAATAAAGTAAGCCTAAATAACGGTGAAAATAACGAAAATAAAAATTACATTCCTTGTGACAGTAACAAAAAAATCCCTGTCCCCTCCATTCGTATAAAAGACTTTGGATCCTTGTGTAGGCGTTCAGGGAAATAAATGCAATACCAGTACTTTCGTTTTTCTAAACATAGTCATGAGAAAACCCTTGCTACCCTTCAATCATAGATAGCCTGTCTCCGGAGACAGACTGTCCTTTTTACACATGATTGCATGTGATTGGAAAAGGATCGGGGTTTCCCAAAACTGCCCCTTTTGGGCGCGAGGCATGTATAACTTCTTTGCTTGATTATAATTCCAACACATAGAATTTCTCTGCTAATTCTTTTCTGGTGAAAAACTTGGGAGTGAAAAATTATGTCTACTTTGCATGACGTCACCACTGGAACAGGCGTACTTGTCATCATCTTCAGACACATAATCATCGTCTTCTGCCTCACGTGTAGGTCTTTGAAAGGCTTCTTGGCTCAAGGGTATATGTTGCAAAATCAACCAACAACTGCTGTTGAAGTTACACAAGAAACAGGCGCCTCACACAAAGGGGTCTAGTTCAAATCAATTTGTGCCAAGATTTTAATTGAAGAAAAAATTGACGCCGTATGTCAAAACCCTGTAAATTGGGCAATACGTCAATTTGAATCATTCGAACATCAGTAACACAGACCTTATACAAAATTGCTTATTTTGCTAATTAGATATACAACAGCAAAGTTATTGCCTCTTCCAGAAGTGGCAAAGTCATACAAGGTTCCCAGAATTTTCACTCCCACGTTTTTCAAGGGATCAGTACACGGTCAGAGTGTATTTTGTTGATCAATATACAATTTTCTGGACGTCTTATTTCAAATTTATTGCATTCTTTTATATACACGCTGACAATAATATATCTTTTCACATTTGAGGGTCTTGTTATCAACATTTTTTCTTTTGTTGTTACACTTAGCCGAAATATTCTTGAGGACATAAAGAAATAAAAATTGATGTAGGTCCCTCCTCGGGGGTAAAAAAAACCACAAAACTAATTCACTTTTCACATGATGTCTGAACGCTGATATTTATACAAGTGTTGTTTGTTAATACTAACTTTTTCAACAAGGACTATGATGGCCACTCAATGAAATATAATAGTTAGTGATTAGTTACAACGTGAAATTAACCTGAAATGAATTTGTTAATTCATGTATTAGTGAATTGAACACAGTCACTAAATTTGGTGACTCAAGTCGAGTCGAGTCATGAGGTCAGGAAGTCGAGTCGAGTTACTTTGCGTAATCAAATCGAGTCGATTCAAGTACCGAGCTCGAGTCAATTTGACTCACAAAGTATGGCACAAAATACAATAAAAACACAACTAAATGTAACTAATTTTTTGGTATGCTTTCCATGCATGGAGGAAGAAGAAATCACCGGGCCGCGCTGTGCCGCATGCTGTGTAGGCCTATACATCCTGTGCTACGTATTCACGATCGATATAAGAGCAGAGCGGTGAGTCTGATTTCAATTTCTTTTGGGGGCCAAAAAGTTACTTTTAATTTTTTGAGACTCGACTCTTATAAGCATGTTCTCGAGTTGAGTCTCCTTGAGATATTTGAGTCGAGTCATTCATTCGCAGACACTCGAGTCGAGTCGCACAAAAGTATGACTCGAGCTGGACTCGAGTCGAGTCATTTACTCGAGTCATTACAACTTTGATTGAAAATGACAAACGTTAAACACCTCGGACCACTTGATATGTATCAGGCTGTGTCACCTGGGAATCCATTTTCTCTTATTTTTGTACTCATTACAATGCATGTCTATACCTGATGCAAATGTTTACATATCACTGTTGATCCTTAACGACCTTCGAGCCTTTGCTTGGAGTTTCTGTTGACCAAATCCCGTCAACAAAGCCAAACCAAAAATCAAAGTTCAACCACGGTGAAACACGCGATGTGGCGAACCGATATTGATTTGTACAAGTACCAGCTTTGTTGACCCAATATGGAAGCGTTTTGCGTGTGACATTGAGTCGTATTGAACAAAATTTGCCACTGGGATATGATAATCAAGCTGAAGTAGAATTCAAACTCAACCACCATGGGCATACTGAGAGATTTAGAGATCGTTTACGACAGCAACAGAGATGTGTTTTCTCAAGGTGACATCGTTAAAGGATGGGCGATAGTAGATGTTCAAACCGATGAAGAGATGGGACTGAAAAATGTCCAAGGTAAGTAAAATTTCAAACATTTAAACGACCCTTGCGCTGCTCCTTGGCACTCTAGAATAATCAGCCCGATTCCCTGATTACGTTATTTAACCACTCTGAAAAGTTTCAGTCAAACGTTTGTCATACTTTAAACGCTTCTTAATTAAATAAACATTAATTAATCTGACTCATTCTGCAAATAACGAAATCAAATGCAAATATGATAAACATTTTACATAAGAGTCCACATTAAAATCTGCAGAGATAAATTACCCAGTTTATGAACAGCATATTTCCTATGATTGGCAAAGGTAGAGCCAAGTAACTTGAAGATATCTGCTTCGAATAGGAATATCAATGCAGTTTAAAGGAAAGGCGAAAATCGTATGGATTACCAAAGACCAACAAAACCTTCGTAGCGGTCATCCTGACTACAGATTGGAATACATCCAAGGCCCGAGTCAGAGACAATGGCAAGATGGTACCAGTACATATGAGAGACATCAAGCCAGTGAAGTTTACTTTAACAACACCCTTGTGTTGTTTGGATCAGGTTTGTTTCTCGCAGATTAGAGATTATTTTATCTACACACGCTGAAGTGCTTTTATAGTATAATTGAAGACTTCAGTGCGAAAGGATTTAGCATATCATTTTTTCATAAATTCTGGTGCTTTCGACTTTTGCATATAAACTGATATGCATAATCTCTACTCAGTAACCTAGGTAAGACAATGTTGACTTTATTTCTTTCGGAAACATTTTCGTCTGTAGACAATGAACTCACACAACTAAGATATAAATCACACACTAAGTACCAAAAGACGTGAAGGCAAACAATACAACATCAGATTTACCTATACACGTACATCTTTTTTCTGCATGCAATAAAGAGCATCGCAGTCGTGAGTTTGGAGAAAGAGATTGAAATGCAACTATTTGCTCTTTGTTGGAAATCAACTTCAAACAACCAGTGCATGGAATATATATGCGGTGGAACACAAAAACCAGACTTATTAGTTTACAAAGTGTCTTTTTCATTCAACTGCAGGTCAAAAAGACTCAGGTACACAAGATCTAACCCTTCCGTCGGGAAGGCACAATTTTCCCTTCCAGTTCCAACTTCCAAAGACAGATCTACCTGCATCATTTGAGGGACTGAATGGCTATGTGCGGTACAAGACTAAAGTTGTTGTGGCAATACCGAAATCTTTGAAGAACAAGAAGTACAAAACTGAGAAGCACTTTACCGTATTGGGACCGGACGTGGATCTCAACCTTATACCTTCGATACAGGTTTGTTACCTTGGTTACAAATACATGGTTATAATTACTCTAAAACGAACAAAGGTGCTGAAGTGTGCACGCAAGGATTGCCAAAAGGCCATCCAGTGAAATAAAACAAACTGTGACGCCAGAATAATAACTGAAACTGTAATTTTGTCATTATCTCATTTCTTAAATTTCAAACTCCTTTATCATCATTTACTACCTGTATATTTTTCAGGAGCCAATGACCATTGACAATGAAATTCGCAATTTTTGCGGTTGTGGCCCGGACATCGAGGCGGTCGTTTCCGTCGGTCTTTCCAAGCAAGGATATGTTCCTGGCGAATCCATCTATGTCAATGGTCAGGTGGACAACCGTGACCTATCAGAACACAGAGACTTTACAGTATATCTTGTTCAGGTAAAGTAGATATTTAGTGAAAGAAAAACTGGGGTTTTATTCCTGGGTGTACGTATCTCTTTCGGTTGTAGCCATTAAGTTGTTTCTGTTGCTTAGTTTGTTACTTGTCTTTCGTGTTTTCAGAAAATTTCCTATCAAGACAAGAGGGCGACAAGAGAAACAGCAAAAAAGGTTTTAGCAAAAGAAAAATCCACAGTTGCCTGTCCAAGGGGTCGTGTATCAGATTACAAGGTGGGACCATTACCGATTCCACCAGTACCCTCTTCTGATTTGGCAGGATGCAATCTCATCAACATCGACTATTTTGTTCAGGTAGGTAAAGAAAGTTAGATACGGCCACCGAAATATGGTGGAAAGACGAATTGCTTTGACTCAAAAAGAAATACAGAAAAACAGTCGGAGATTTTGATTTGGAACACTGTCCAATTCAGTAAACGAATTCAATCATTTTTACGATTCCACAAATATGCGTACATCCCCGGTGGGGTATATAAATCCCCTCCCCAACTTTTTCACCAGTGGGGTGGGCAATTGAATCATCCCAACCCACTTTTTCGTTGTGAGCAAAATCAAAGCAGCTTGAGGAGGATTTTTCAGACTTTCCAACAACTAAAGTGTATTTAATAGCGCTAACAAGGAAACCAAAGATATACGCCGCTTTGATGTAAGGTTCTGCGTGAGTATAATACGCATTACAGATGTAAATCTGCATGATAAATACTACCCGGTAGTCATGGTGTCATGGAGCAACCCCTACCCCAATTCTTTCAAATTTCCATGGTGGGGAAAGTCATAGCCCATAATCCCAAAGTTTTTGGCACATATGCAGGCCACTGATTCCCATGTTAATGTTTCGTCGGCATTTTTAGTGTAAGGACCGCACCCACTCAGCAAAATTCCCAATAACTGTGGGTTCCGTACCACTGTGGACACACCCTACCAGTGATCAAGGCGCACCACTGGAGAACCAAGGTGTGCAAAATACTGGTGAGATTTATGATGTTTGAGTTTAACGGCGAGTTGTATTGCTCAAAGAGTGAAAACTTAATAAGTGTTGCATAACGCAACCATAGTTGATAGTAAATATGGCGTTTTGGAGCTTAACGATTTCAAAGATGTGTGAAGCAGAAGAGCTAAATTCAGATTAATAATATTTCTGCGACAAGTGGAATTGGGCTACTATTAGTACTCTTTTAGTCTGAAGTTTGTTCTCAACCATTATTTTGTGTATTATTTGCGTGTAGATTGTAAAACACAAAGAATCAAGCCTCGATTCTCTCCTGCCAGTCTAAAACTCCATCTCTTTTCTTCCACAGAATGTCCTTATCTTCCCCCACCAAGGTACGAGCAAGTGACAGGCGAAATGCAAAGAATCCGACGAAGAAACATGGACGAATACTTTAGCGAAGACCAATTATTTCTACCTAGATATCCATACTTTGACTTCGCAGCCACTGGAGATCTTGAAAATATGGAACCCACGCTAAATGTCTAAAAAAAACCGATCTTTTTTCAACTAAAATTAGGAGACGCAGTTTGTTAGAGTGTTGTTTTTCGGTTTATAAGAACGGCAAAAAGTTTTCCATTTGTGTTTTTGTGGACACTGCAGTAGGACGCCAATATAAACAAATCCAACAATGTTTCATTGGACATTTCAACATGGTTGAAGAAATGCGCTGAGCTTACTACGAAGCGAATGTCACAGAGCAATGACTTGGTCCGACTGTAATGTCGCAATGCCTACAACCATTAGTGGCAGCCGTTGTATATTGTCGATGACAAACTTGAGTGCTATGGTCACCGGACTCGTCCGTACACAACTGGAATACCCCCCACTCAAACTTATTTAAAAGGGTAAAAAGCTTCCTTTTCTATGTAAAGCTGTAAATTTACATTAAATAAAATGTATTTCTTAAATATCACGCCTGGACTGTATGTAGGCTTTGGCACCGACATCACACATTCTACCTCCGTATTAATCACATCTTACCGGAAAATTTTCCAGTATATAAACCGTGGTTATCTCAAAACAAAATGAACACACAAATCAGTCTGATAGTGCATTCTGTTTTTGTTGGAGGTATTGACAAGCCAAATCACACTCCGCATCAGCTTAATTCAGAAAGGAAATCCAAAAGTCTGAAATACATGTAGTTTTATGACAATAAAACTTTGGCATTATCAATGAATATCGGGACACTTTTATTTACACCACATCTGCCAGAAATGATTTTTTTTACTTCTTCCCAAACATGGCATCAGTGCCCTTGCGTTGCATCAATGGAATTAAAGGAAAGTGAGCTGGTAGAACTTAGTATCAATATTTCTGAAGAGCAATGTGATTTTGAATCCAATAGGAACGCTTTCACGTATGTACTTGGATTGGTCCAGAAGTGGATTCGCGTACACTTGAACTAAGTATGCACAATGCCGACAAATAAAAGAATTCTGCCATCATACTGTCGTGATCATAAATATGCTTGCTTCACAGTAGCCCATCTTCACCCAATTTAGGCTTCCTAATGGACGTGCAACAACAGGGCATTTTAGCTTTGTAATTCTAATGAGCGTATACTCTGCAAGTTTACTCAACTGATAACTTCACCTGATTTTTCCTTTGACTAAAAGATTCTTCTGAATGTATGTCCGATTAGATATGTTGCAAAGTCATACACATGGACACTTACGTGCAAAACTAAGAAAACGGATTGTTTACACACTTTCAGCTGTTGCGAAGAGCAGTTCCCTGACAGGTAGGCCAAAACAAAATTCACGGAACAGTCAACAGCTGATTCTACCCATAGTTAAGCCGTTTAATAATATCTGCACAGACAACACTTCATGTGCATTTCTATAGCAAAGGACAACAGAGCGTGCAGAATATATAATGTTTCATTATTATATGAATTGACGGTTACAAAATAAAGGACTGACATTAGAAGGTTGCAAATATAACGAACTGAAACAGGTTGACAGAAGAAAAAAGAAAAAATAATTTTGCCTTCAACAATAAAGGCTCGCAACCTAAAATGTAACAACACAAAAGATCCGGTTTGCTACGGCCCTTCGACATGTTTTTCACCTGCTTAGCTTCAAAAGATTTTTAAATAATGTTTTAGACTCATTTTCACGACAGTCTTGTGAAACTCAGACATATCGTTCTCGCACAACATCTATATGCTTAAAGACATTCCAACAAAAGAAAACGATAGTCCTTTCCACTGATGTGCTCAATCCATGCTTGCGGCTATGAACTTCCAATGAACCCTTTTGTTGAAATAAATTAACTTCACGGTTATGCTCATAATGAAAGCCGTTTTATTCATGCAAAGATTCGAATGCATTCCGCATGGGACAGCCAAGTTTCAGGGGATCCCCCAGCTGTGAGGTGGTTTGAAAAAGCGTGGCGTTGTCCCTGAACTGAATTGATGTAATGCCTACAACATGAAATGAGCCAAACTGAATTATTTTCATGACGATTCATTGAATTTCAGCAGGAAAAACTATGATTTGGTTGGCATCCAAATATAACAGTTCAGCTTTTTGCATGTATTTTCTTTAATTCTCTTCAATTTTTTTTAATTTGTGACTGAATTTTTATAAATGTGCACTAATTTCTATTTCGTTTTTGAAATTCATTTTAGAACATGAAGAAACAAAGAAACTAACGAATTATGCCATTTTGCTGTCCCAACTTTACCATATCACATTCTAAAAGAAAAACGTAAACTGGTGAACGTGAAGAGAAAAGGTAAATTTTGGGCATTTGTTTTATATTTGAGTGTTAGAGCCACTCTTTTACGCTAGGCTAAAAGACAAGACTAAAAAACAAGTAAACAAAAAACAAGCAAACACGCAAAAAGGGAACAAAAACAACGCACAAAACATGTAAAAGACCAGCGCCTTGAATTGTTACTGCGATGTAGCGTCGAAGACCGATTCGCTATATCGTTTTACGTTACTCGAACGTGTTACACTCGTAAGCTAAAATCCTTTGGGGACATTTCCGTCCGTCTTCAAAACCATAATTTTTCATCCATTTTTTAAAGTTCCGTAGATATTATGACAAAAAACTGACTGGAATAGCACAACCGTCTAATTGATTTGATGTAAACCAAAAAAAATGTACCATTGACATAGAAACACGCTCAAACAATAGGGCAATTCGCCGCTTATGACATGGCTGGCATTGAAACGACAGATTATACAACTCACAATAATCATGGGATGAAACGCAATTTTAAACACCGATAGCGTGATTCGTCTGGACCAATGAAAATATGGCATGACATACAATAAACTTAATTTGTAACGGTATTTGTAGGCATTATTTCACTAATCTGCCGTTAGTTAAGTCATTTTTATCAGTAATTCTTTCAAAAGAGGGTCGAGAATAAAGCTTTAAATCTTCAACATGAGACCAACACCCAAGATAATGCAAAATACACACAAATTCAATATGCTAACAGTCAAAATGCTACTGACAGAAACCAAAAACTTTCGCTTATCCTAGATAAACTTTGTAAACATTCTCCAAACTTGAGCAAGACTTTGAAATGTCGCTTTTTCTTTCGAACGGTGTTGCTTGTAATGCCTTACTGTTGCTTTCCACTGTTAAGAATCTCAGTGTATCGTTTGTATTCGCCGTCTGTAAGCTTCCAGATCACCAAATACCTGTGAAAGAGAAAATCAATTATTAGCGGGAATTCTATGATAATTGAAATAATTCAAACTACACAAATGCAAATGCAATGCCATCACCGGTATTTTTTTTTTTTTTTTTTTAGATTTGATGAGACTTTAAAACTAAGTCTAGCCACATTCACTTGAAATTATTTGATTTCGTTGACGTACTTGCCCATTTTGAAGGGCTTGTTGTCGGCCTTTGCGAAGTCATAATCGCCGCGTTCATAGAGCAACTCGCCGCCACCAATTGGTGCTACTTCAATGGCATGAAGATTCACCAACACAGCGCCCTCACTTTTGAATGAAGCTAAGAGTTTCTGTGCATCTGGTAGCATGCAACACATAAAATTGGAAAGAACGCCATTTCAATAATGCTCTTTGAAAAAAAAATAAAAACAAACTAAAACCTCTTCCTTTCATACTAGCCTAATAATGCATATTCTACAAAATTACAATGATGCATGTCGATTACTATGCAAATAAGGAGTTTTTACTACGATTTTGGCAGGTTCATATTTTAATGGTAGGTTACGCCATTGGTAAAATCACAAATTGGAATTGCCGAATAATTCTTGAATATCTTATTTGAAAGAAAGTAGGTTTCGTTCAATCTGTATAATACTTCCGCCCAGAATGCTGCTGTTTTCGAGAGACACAAATTCTGTTCTCTTTTCTTTAAAATGGTCCGTCGACCACCGTGTAAAGATTTGTTTCACTTTAAATTTTTTATCCGTAAACGGGCACCAATTTACAGGAGTGGTGTGGGTACAGATGTTGCAGGAATAATTATCAACGGGTAATACCAAAAGCAGCCAAAAAAAAGCAAACAAACACACACACGAAAACAGAAATTCAAAAGCACATTAATAGGAAAAAGTGTAAGGCAAAATTTGAAAAGAAAACTGGATCGGTTCAAAGTCAAGTTACGGGGTTCTTAACGAGAAAGCACTGCGATCCTACTATCACCCACATGGTACAATGGTATAGTCCAAAATGCAAGCTCAGTTTACAGCGAGATGATTTTCGTCAACAAAAGTTACAATTTCAGAAGTTCCAGACCCTAACCAATTCCCGCGTTTCCAGACATAATTTCCTCTGAGCCACAATCAGTTACTAAATTGTACCCTAACCGGAATTTTTGCGGCAAATCAGATAAAAACATCTATTGTTTAAATGTTACATACCCCAAGATATCTGGCCTTTTTACGAATTAAAACTGTACATGTATTAACAAATGCTTATCACAAAATCGATGTTCACACATCACTGACATCAACTTATCGATTTCTTCCTACCGTCTTTTCCCTCCGTTGTCTTCTCCCCTGGAACCATCATCTTACAGTCTTGAACGTAGAGGGCGTCACAGAGCGCCCTCATATCATCTCCTTCGTAAAGTTCCTTGAACAACTGATTTCGTTTCTTAATTATCTCAAGGTGCTCTGTTGAGACAAATGGAAGCAAGGTATACGCTATTTAATGCTGACAATCTATGGTTATATTGTAGCTATGCTACAAATTTAGCCATTTTAGTTTGTATGCAGACAATAACAGCTTTACAGTAAGGTGGCACGTTTAATACCTTATGCTAAATTTAATGTCTAGGCAGATTTTCCAAGAGAAAGGCTCAAGAATAGTATAAGATAGACTTTGCTTAGGTGTGGTCAATTTAATTGGAAGGACTGATTTGCTTGGCGTTTACACATCACAAATTGAACAACGCTTAAATCACTCAGTAAAAATTGAGTAATACACTAAATTACAAAAAACACGGTGTCTCAAAAAACCGAGAGTGTTTCTTGAATGTGACTTTATTGTAAGTGTTAAATATATTCATTTCAGCTATCTTTAGTATGACACCAAGAAATCCACATTTCCGTCACGCATGACTGAGCACAAAGTGGTTTAATGGACCAAGTCAGAAAGTGCTTTGCACCTGACGCATCACAGGTTTGCACAGCATGAAGCATCAAGTACACTACCAAAATCATTAATTCAAAGATAGCCACTGTTACGGGCTTCTTCTTGCGGCGGCCTAACCCCCGAGTCCTTCAACATGTCCCCGTTTCTTTCAGTGCAAATTTTTCACCTTGTTCTCATTGCTCTGAAATGGTTAACATGCATTACGTAAAGTTAAAATTATCTCTGGACAGTACAAATTCAAGTCCTAAATATAAACAAGTACATGACTGGAAAGCCATTTCTGACGTGGTCCATCAAACCACTCAATCATCTGTGATGGGAATTTGGATTTCTTGATGTCATACAAAAGAGGACATCATAATGAAACCGATAATGATTACCATTTACTAAAATAATTAGTCACATTCAAGAAACAAACAAATTTATATCAGTTTCCTATTTTTATCGCTCCTTTAAGTTGTTTGAAAATGTATTTGTTTCCAACTATAGAGGCCTAAATACATGAAGAAAATATTCAGTTTTTGGACTTTGTCATGGGCATGTAAATTACACTTCATGGGTCAACTGTGTTCGGGTCAAGTAAACCAATCATTCCTGATCGATTCTTTCTATTAAACCTAAAAAGACATCACGTTTTGCATGCAGCCATCACAGCTTACAATGAGAACACGCTGAACTGATTTAAGCTTAAAGGTAGGCCTAAATCACCAACCAGAAATTTCATCCTCGGAAGTTGTTTAAAGGTTTTTCAATGTATTACTTGCAATAAAATATATCACTATTTACGCCAGCTTTTCTGTCCTGGCTCAATAGCACTTGGTACACAGAATGATGTTAAATTGCGGTACATATATAGCGTCACCGTGGTAAGAGCCGAGATTGATTTTAAACCTAACCAATTATTGACAGCTATTGAAAAAAATTAATAGGACCCGAGGGTTCAGTACATGCATTAAGATTTTAATTTAAGAAGAATTTCATTATTCAAGTTAATACACTACAATAATACAATATACAACAAATAACGAATAGATGAGGAGAATTGTACTGTTGAAGTGAATATAATCGCGCTATAAAGTCTCGTGTATCGATGCTCATAATTGAAACCGATGAGAGGTTTGCTTTTGAGTGGGTTAATTAGAAACAAAATACGCGACATGATATTTTCCAGGCTTTATTAACCCTCAGTTATATGCAGGCAATAATTCCACAAATTTGTGACGTCTGTATGGATTACGTATGGTGACGACCACTGAATAGGGCATGTTTGAACTGACCTACATAATTATTTTCAACTTAACGTTCAGGGCTCCAGACTTGTAATGAAAGACATCCTCAATAACAAGAGTCCGGGGAAATTTAATAACGACAGAAGTTCTTCACAACTTTGAACAAAGTCAAATCGTGCTGGCTTGCCCGGATTCACGGACATACCGGTACCAGTGTGAAAAAAATCGACATGTTTGTATACACTGCTCTCTGTTCAACATTCAAACAACTCATGCTGCAATGTATTAGCTTCGCCTGGAAAGTCGTACAAATTAATGTCAATTATGAATAATCTGATCACCTACAGTTACTTTAAGTCATCCTATTTCTTCTTGCCACTTGTTTGGAGTAGGTGCCTCCAAAAGCGACTGTATCACCTCTCGAACGAACAGATCTCTCATGCATACGGAAAGATACTGATTTTTCTATAGGTGATGAATTCATGGGATGCAGAATTAAAACAGGCCTAGCCCAATTGAGCAATTTTTTATATATTTCAGAGTGGATGTAAGGTCCTACTCGACCTAGGACATATATATCTGAAATAAAA